TAATAGCAACCAGCCAATAGCTAATGTCATAGCTGACCTATCACTTGTTTCCAGGCCTGGCTTTCAAAGAGAAGTGGTAAGTGAAGGCAAAAAAAGGAGGGGGGGGGGAGGGGGCGGGGGGAAGATGTTAGCAATAGTAACCTATAAGAAGTGAATGATAGTTCACATACTGCTGGTAAGGACAGCAAGTTTTTAAGAGTGGAATAGAAATATTACTTAATTTACTAAACTAGAATTGTAGGCAGTAATACGCAGTCAAGAATGTTACTTGTATGCTGCACCCTGAATTTGTCTTCTGAGCTAGAGTTGGTAAACAGCCGCCTATATTTGCAAAGTAACAACTTAGCTTGTACCCAAGTGTTATTATACCATTAAGTACATTTAGTTTTAAAAGTCCTCTGATCTTATTTAAGAGAGACAGGTAGCTTCATTACATGTTCCCTTTTCGGACAGTTATTTAATAGGCACAAGGAATTCACAAACTAGAGAAAATTGAAAACATCTTTTACAAAGGCTATCGGAAAACTTGTAAGAAAAGTACTTAAACACTTCCTCTGGTAGAGATGAGAAATACAGGGGAAAAAGGTCTTTCTTGGAGAAGTGACATATATAGTATAATAGTACCTGTCCAGGAACAACTGCTCTGGAGAAAAGCTTATTTAATTGTACCAGTTCATTGGGTGTTGTATCAAACTTCAAGGCAATACTGTTTAAAGTATCTCTTGATTCCACCTGTATCAATTGGTGAAAAGAAAAAAACAGAAACACAAACCTGTAAGCAGTTAGTTCAAATAGTGGCTTACAAATTTTATCACGTGTAGATTTACCAAGATTTTGATGAACTTTAAGTTTTCATTTCTTATAATTGCCCCAAAAAGAAAAAAAAGCAAAACCAAACCAAAAAACAAAGTCACCAACAAACACAACCAAAGATACCTGTGCCTTAAATATTCATTTACTGCCACCCCATATAGGACACCTGCCTTCCCACTATGTTTCTGGGTGGCCACAGGTGTCAGTCGCGCCCTGGGCTGCAGGCTCAGCCATTGCAGCAGAACGTCTGGTCTGTAACCTCACTGCTGGGCACCACCAGATCAAGACATGACTGACTGCTTTCACAGAACCCCTCCTGCTCCCTCTTAACTCCTCTTCTCCGTTCCTCACTTGCAGAAAAGCTGAAGCCTCCTCCATAAACACAAACATGCTCTCTTCCCATTGACATAACCACGTTAGCCTGACTTTCACGTAAAACCCACCACTGAGACAAAAACCAAAAGTGCTGAAGCAAAACCAGTCAACCAGTATGACAGCAGATGGAGTGTAAGCATTTTGAGCAGGTCATTCCTAAGGAAAGGATTTTTTTCAAGCTCTTATTTTCACCCCATCTCCCTAAATGAATTCAACACAAACCAACAAAAGAAAGCAAAGGGAAAAAAAACCTTTTATTTGTAGAGAGTGTTTTAGAATGAAGAATTCCTAGCAAGTGTTTAAGTATAGTGAAGATGATGTGACAAGGGAGCATACAAGCAGAAGTTGCTTATTGCTTCATAAACACTGTACCAGGAAAAATAAATCTTATCAGTGGAGAGAAGATGAAGCAATACAAGCAAAACTACACTTGTGTTGCTAAAAATAGAGCACAGCTAGAAAAACATCCATGGATTCCTGTCTCAAATGGCTTTTCCTTTGTCCCTCTTACTACATCTGCAGAAGTGATATACCTTCCACTCTATATAAATCTTAAGTATTAGACTAATTATTCACAGGTTTAGTTTTCCTTCTATTTTCAGGCTATTCACTTAATGTTAACTATTATTGACAATTACAGAAAAGAATACTTTCTCTTTTCAATTCTCTTTACCTAATTTTCAAGGGAAAATTAGGGAAGGAGGAATAATGAAAGACAACATCACATTTTTCTTCATAGTATATGTTCTACACAAAAGTGTTTTGAGAAAGCCAGTGGCTATCATGGACTGCAGTATAAAGACTGAGAGAAACCTATTAATGAAACTGTAAAAAGAAAACAAGAATCACTTATGCAGGACCATGTTAAATTTAATGCGCACAATAACTTTTGTTGAAAAAGAGCTTCTTAAAATGTAAGTAGCCTTCCTATACTCAGTAGCAAGAGCTTCTAGAAATCCACTCTCTTACGTGGAGATAAGACACATGAGGCCTCGTTACCTAGTTATTTCTACCTTATGTAGTCACTTTCATACGTATACAAGTCTAAAACTGTTAGCTAAAATCAGTTTTTACAGAGAAAGAGCAACTTATGTTTCACACCTTCCACCTTCCTTTTCCAATAAAATCTCAAATCAACCACTCTCTTCTAATTACTGTGTCCCCGGTTGAGCAGAGGTACATCTCATTACCACTTTTCCACTTCCAAAGCACTACTCGTACACCCACATTTGCCAGGTGTGCTTGTGCGCACCAGTAGGCAAACAGCTTCAGAGCCACCACTGCCTGCAGCTCCAACTGCCTCCACTGCTTGCAGAGTTATTTAAAAACCTTATTTAAAACTGAATTATCTACTGATAATTTTAATGAATTTTACTGTCATTGCATCTCAATTACTGGAGTTTACTCATTCTTCCATTAAAAGTGATACACTGAATACTTATGAATCAGAGTGCACAAATGTTAATTTTTAAGTGTTTCAAGACTAGTTGTCCAAGAATCAGAAAAAAGAAAACAACAGTTTAAGAGTATTAAAAGGAACTAAAGAAAAATTAAAGAGAACAAACTTAAAGAGATGGGAAGACTAGAAAGAGGGCTGAGGACAAAGTGGAGAAGAGGAAACAACTTTGGTGTTGTCCCCAAGCCTCTAGAAATACCAGATTATGACTACACAAACTAACCGTTAATATGTCTAATTTCTATAATATGCAACATCAGGAAAACAGAACTTGTAAATATCACAAAAGCAACTTCAAAAAAACATTTTAAAGTTAGGTAAAACATACAACAGATAAAGTAATATATTATCATCATGATCCACATCTTCTAAATTCCCCAAAACTGGGAAAAAGACTACGACAGTGGCAGGCTCAAAGAAAAGTGACATAAGAAAAGTCACACAAGAACAGAATCTCTGGCTTTGAAATGGAAGTACCAAGAAAAAAGCAAAAACTTCAAAGTGTGTAGTAGTCTAAATAGCAGGTAAAGGCTTACAATGGCAGTAAACCCAGCTCCACCAGGAGGGAACCCTTAGCACCTCTACCCAAGCTACCTTAAGACCAAAAGGAACAACCAGTCATTCTAGGAAGATGTTAGCAGATACTCACCATTTACCTACTCTCAAGATACACATGTTCAGAAAGTCATTACAACACAATTCCAAGCACTCCTGTGGGTTCGAAGTCTATCAAACTTTCACCCGTTTGATGGTCCCCATAAAAGCACTTGCCACCCACACCCCTTGAGCTAAGAAAGGATCAAAAATTGCTCCTGGTTTTACTTGAAGAAGTTGCCTTCAGGAGCTCTTGTAGTTTTGTTCTCAGTAAACATATCTGACTGCTTTTTAACTAAAACAAAAAAAGAGTCTAGACGCAGTTTCCAGATCACATGCAGGAAGATGCACAGTTCTCAACATTAGGACTGGCTTAAAACTCAGTCTTAAGACTCTGGTCCGCTGTGGGCTTGTGTTGCCTCCATTCATTGCTATCAGGCTCTTCTCATGATCCGGACAACATATTCTGTGTGTTACAGTGCTCATCTGCTATTTCAGAAGAGCACAGCTTTCAATCTCCAGAGAGTTAAAAGGGAAGGAGTGGGGCAGAGGAAGCCTTACACTGGAGCCTCCAACACAAATAATCATCTGCCTCCACTGCTCACTTGTAATTTCTTTTATTTTTCAGCAGTTTACTGCATTTGAGAAAAACTACCTGTAAATAGCTACAATGATTTCTTTTTTCTCCTCAGAAGGCTTTTGTTGAAGTCATGCAGCTGGTATCATGCTACTATCATTGGTAACCAGTGACCAACACTGTCTGCTTCTCCTCCTTTATGTACCTGTAGTTGGCTCTAACACCTGTAGGGAGACACTGGTTGTGTTGTTGTACAACATGTAACACAAAATACTTCTAATGCAATGGTAATATAATCACATCAAATAAGCAATGTAAAAATGCTTTTTTTACAATATAAAAAGGCGTAAAAGTTCTAGCTAGTAACTGTAATTCACCTAAACGCTCAGCTCTGTGGGTCTTTAGAGCCTGTTCACATGCATCAGCTGTATGCAAAGGGGAAAGCAATTGGCTTGCAGCATCAACTGAATTCTGAAATAGATAATATCAATTTGCATCTAATCTGTTGACTGACATTGAGAAGAGAAACTATATTAACTTAAAAAAATAATCTGTTCACTGTCTAAGCATTAACAGTGAAAATAAACCAGCATTTCCTGTATCCTTTAGAGGCAGTCACTGAAAACAAACTTAGTGACGCTGTTTTAAACATACTACCCTGGGTAAGCTTACGACTTGCTTCCTTTACTCAGCACCACCACATCTGTCGGCATCTTGCTGGTGCTAGATGATGAACAGCAGTTCCAAATTTTTATGGAAATTCTAGATTTAAATATTTAGCTGCCTTTTGGCTTTATCTTCAAAGAGAAAATAGGTTTTCTTGTTTATTTGTCTCCAAGGTAATGATTTTATTTTTAAAAAATTCTGATGGGAATTCTATTTCACCTTAAAAAAAGAAAAAAGTGAGATTCCATCTCACTTTAGGGCTTTAGGAATACAAATAAGCCCTCCCCTGCTAAAACCACGTTGCCACTAGAGAAGAATAAACCAATAAATTTTTATTTAAGAAAAAAAAAAAAGGCAAAGCAAAAAACCTTCACTAACTTTTCAACAATACTGGGGGGGGGCAGGGCGATTCTGGTTTCTGCCTTCGTCTTTCTATTACTTCTCAAAGCAGCAACACATGCAGACATACAAATATGTGTGTGTGCATATATGCGTGCTGTTGCTTTGAGAGACAGTAGGATCAAGGCAGAAACCAGACATAAGTTCATTTCTCCATATGGTATAAAGCCATGAATAACAACAGCAGCAAATCATCACAACAACAACCAGACCTCTCTTATGCATAACCTTCCTAAAGGTTCAGACCTGTGTATTTTATTGAGACATACATGCATGGCACGTAACTGAAAGCTCTGAAAACTGGATGTTACTCAAGTACTTTGCAAGTGAGAGGTACAGGAAGCACAGACAGAACGCTGCATTTTCAAAGCTGAAATGTACCAAGTTCCTTGCACACAACGGGCTCGTTCAGAAGCTGGGCTAAGTTTAAAGACAAGAAGTCTTTTGACTCACAAGGAAATGACACATACTTCAGCATGTAGTTTTGCAAATAAAACCCCACTTACTAGAACATAAAAATCTGCAGAAGTGTATGACAAATTGACACAAACATACTAATTTAAAAAAGGAAAGTTTTGCACTTTAGCTTCACCTGGAACCTTACATGCAGGCACATGGTGGCAAGGGACAAGTTAAGGGATTTACTGACAGAAAAGGAACCCTAGTTTTACAAAGTTACACCTGAGCATTTTTCCCAATTATTTCCAACAAAATGCAGTTACTGTAATAGAAACAACAGTCCCATTTACTTTACCATTCTTCAGCTGCTGGAAGCTAAGCAGCAGAAATTTCTCTTTTGAATTTCAGCTTCAATAAAGTCTTTGGTATAGGCTAGAACTACACTTAAATTCCCAATATAAGCCACACTAATGAAGTGCTTCTTGCTTCAACACACACATCCTCTGCCTCTCTCCGAACAACTACCACAGCCTCGTTGGTGTTTATGCTGTATCACAGCTTGGCTTCACGTAACATTAAGAGTTAAGTCTCCCCCATATCGCTTATTCTCGAAGTAAGAGAATACCAAGAGGTGAAGTAAAGACTTTTTAGAAAGAAGTTCTCATTTTTATTTTACTGTGTCCAGCTTCAAAAGCATTCAAAGGTAACTGTGACAGACAGTTATCTGTCCCATTTTAACGTCAACACTATAAGTATTATTTATAGGCTTAATTACATTTCCAGTATATAACATAAGACAGATACTCCTCACTTCAGTTTCCCTTAGTAACCACAAACATGAAAAGCTGACTGCAGCACAGTTTGAGGGTCATTTCAAGAACAGAACAGGCAGAGAAAGGCTCCATTTTCAGATACTGCTGCGAAAACAGATCTCTATAGTAAAAGGTACAGATCCATGAAAATTATTTGAACACCAGAAGGTCAGTACTGAGATTCAGCTTCTCACCTCCCCCCAAACTTCATTCTGTTATTTCTCCCAATGGCAACAGTTTATTAATAATACTGAAAGCAGGAAACTTGCACGTGATTTTGTAATCAATGTTATTTACCATTTCTAACTAGTTACCTAAAAGTGAACCAGTCAGATTGATTAGTTTGGGTTTTTTATTAAAAAAGTAACTTAAAAATAAAAAAGCATTATCCAAGCAGTATTAGCTAATTCCAGATTTAACTCCTGTTAAAATAAGCAATCAGATGAACAGAATTCCAAGAATAAAGGTAATGCACATTACTGTTTTGCTTGTATTTGTAATGAAACTTCAGTCTGCGCTTGCTATGCAATGACATTCTAACAATAAAGCAGTAACTTACAGAATATTCAATAGTCCCTCTAGGCTTTTGAAAAGACATTCGTCGCCCATCTTTCTTGTCCAGGGTCTTCTTCTGGCCAGCGTCTGAAAAAAATTGAGGCAACGCGCGTGTTAAATTCATTTTCCTCTCCTGGTATGGTCACAGGCTGCTGACTACAGCCCCGTGGGCAGACATTGAATTCACAGTTCCACAGCCTGCTCCGGTGACTCTGCCTAACAGGCATCCGGCTGCTACAACAGGGACCTCATTCCTCTGCAACGCTTTCGGAACTTGACCAATATAAACCACTGATAACTGGGAATCAATTAACTGCATAACTACTTGCTGCTATCCAGGAAGCTATTAATGAAGGGAGACTAAATAGGAGATTGACCCCATCAGGCAAGCAGCATTTCTGGAACTACTGCATTTAATTGGTCTTATATCTTGCCCAGTCTGCTTCTGTCTAGAGGGGAGATGATCTGGAGCTCCTGTATGCTCAATCTTATCGGTTGGGGTTTTTTGACTAAATGCTGTTTGGTAAGTACAGAGTATTTAAAGCTTTTGTTGAAAGCAAAGAGCATTAGAGTTTAACTTCACAGTTATCCTGCCTGTAGCAAACACATACAGCCTGTGCATAAACAATAAAGATTCCAAGCAAATGACAAGTTAAGAACTGTTATTTTTATTGGGGCATGGCATTTTGATGACTTGCATTTCATAAGCCAAATCAACGATTTGTACCTGAAGTATATTCCGCTTTTCAATACTAATTGGTTTGATATTTATGATAAAGACAACACAACAGAGTACTTACATGATTCAACAGAAACCATTTAATTCTGCATCTCTAGAACAGTGTCTTTTTAACATATCCATTTATAAATACAAACACATTTTTCGAGATTAATCTCTTACAAAGTTAGGTCTCTGTCACAAGGCCTCCATTTTCAACTGTTAAATATCTGCTCTTAAAGAGCCCAAAATACTTACGTAAATGAGATGTTAGGTTTTCATGCTACACTGCGATTAGTTATACTCCCATTTTGATACTTCAAATTCTATTACCATAACTGAATATATTTATTAAAATATTTCAAACCATAATTGAGGAAACAAACCTTACAAAATACATTATTTTAAAAGATTTTTAGCATGGTTAGATTGGGAAGAGAAGACATGCTCTGTGTCTATTTAGACCTCACCTGAGGTACTAAGGATACCTGCTATAAATTGACTGCAACTTCTGTGCATTACTATTCTTAATTAGTATCCTGACTCCAACACTGGAAAAGAGACTAAACAAATACTCGCACAAACTTCATACACATCCCCCTTTGCTCCCCCTTCCCCCAAAAAAATATCCTACATGGATAGTTGAAACTGTTAATATAAGAGACAGGGGAGGAAATCCAACTCAGGTTACATAGAAAGTTCTGCAGTGTCAAAAAGTAATAAACAAAACACAAGCAAAAAATAAAACCTCAGTAAATATCTTATATTTGCTATATTGGGCAAACTGCAGAGGGCAACAATAAAAGTGATTTCTAGCAGATTCAACATAAGCACTCGCCTGGGGTGTTCTTCGTATAAGAAGGAAATAAACATTGGACTAATTCTACTTTTCTTATATATTGAAAAAAGTCTGAGGAAGAACAATCCCATACCTACAAGATAAAAATTGTTCTATAGTTGATATTAACTATGGTCAGTTTTTACATTTACATTTACATATTACAGTTTTTACAGCTATGAATGAGACTCAAGATTTTAAGCCTACTCTAGAAATTCTGAAAATCTAAACACTGTAATTCTGCATCCTACCATCTTCATTCAATACATTGAAAGTATTTCTTTCCTTATTTACTAAATGCAGCTTTCAAAAAGTTACCTAAAAGAAACCTTTATTTCTGATTACATTGATAGCTTTTAAATATGCTACAAATGTCTCCAGGGGAAATTAAGCCAACTCAGCAATGAATAAAATACACTAGAAGTTTGTGTGCAGACGAACAGTAGCCAACATCCTCCTCTGTCAGGTCAAATATTTCATTACCAAAGTTTCCACCTGACCTTGCAATACAACAGGTGCCTTCATGCTACTGAAAAACTGCAACAGCTGCGAGATTATAGCTCTTCCAAATTCTTCAGCCCATAGCAAAGCTTTGCCAGCAGCTTAATAATGTTCTTTCAACACCAGCCTGGTTTGAATACCCCTAAGCAAAAGTCAAAGGATGCAGCTGAAGGAAGACTGATCCCATCCAGCATCCCATACATGCCTTAGTAATCTGTATGTGGAGCACCCCTATTGTAGAAGCAGCATCTTCTTCCCCTGCCTTCCCATTAGATATAAATAAAGAAGCCCTGTACTACAAATGTATATCCAGACTTCACTTGTTTGTAGCCCAACGTGGTTTGTGTGGTTTCTTTTTTCCTAACTCAAACTTAAGTTTCCTTTTTCTTCACACTAGTTCAGGCATAACTGTCTAAAGAGTTTGCAGACAGGTGTCACTCAGGAGGTCAAGTTAATTTACCTGTTCCATCTCCAGTAATTGAACAGCAGAATAAGAGTCTTGCACAAATAACCACTTCTGTTCCTTATGCCAGAAATAAAAAAAGAAACTTATTTGTTCTTCGGGGCAGAAGTACCTGCTGCTTTAGATTTCAGAGCACTCTGGTAGCTTCAGGAAAGTAAGAGCAGCTGGGGAGTAAGTCTGGGGAAGGAAGGTTCCTGCTGGAGGCACCCTGGAGGAAAGCAGATGCCAGTAGAACTCCTACCACAAATAGGAGCTCATCATCTACAGTTTTTCACAGTTTTGGTTGGGTTTTTTTGGTTGGGTTTTTTTTGTGTGTTTTTTTGGTTTGGTTTGTGTGTCATCCCCTCACATACCTAAGACAGTAATTCCTACCTTTCCCATCAGTGTCCACTTTCATTCCTCCCCTCTGTGATGGTGTTACTTTCCCCTCACTGCATGGACGCAGGATTCATGATGGGCAGCACGGAGTTATGCGTGTGCTGACCTCCCAGCTGGCCAAGCACAGGCACAGCTACCAAACCCCACACCTCTGCCCACAGCCTGAGCTTTCTGCTCATACAGAACCCATCCATCTCGCCTATCTATCATTTCAGATGGAAAACTAGGAGGTATTTCATTTGTGAAAATAGGTCACAGTAGCAGGAACCAGAATTCTACCTCCTCGATGGCATACTGCAAAGCCTCCAACTCTCTCTTGCTGAATGAGCAGGCTGTTTATTTTTGAGTGATCTTTCAGCCATCCTCGTGCCCCCAGTGTTGTAGGGAACCATGTGAAACTGGAAACGACTGCCAGCAGTGGTCTGAAAAGACCTCAGCACCAACAGGAATCAGTCTCATCCTTTCATTTTATCTACTTGCCTGATGATAACTCTGTTGCACAAAAGCTCATCTTGTTAGATTGCACACAGACATTACCCCATCAGCAAGCCATGGAGACTACCAGAGGCTGATGTTCTCAGACCACAGGTCTAAGAAAAACCTGACACCACCGACCACGATGCACACACCCTCAAGAGTCAAGAGTAACTTGCTTAACAAGGGGAGCTGTGGTGTGAGGTTATCAGATCCCTACCCATGCTGTTTCAGACAGAAACAAGACCAGACCTTTTGGAACATCAGGGCTGATGTTTTAATCCTGAATTACCATTTTGCAGGACTGGGCCTCCACAACAGCTTGAAACAAAGTGAAAAAGTACATCAGACCCACAAGTGACAAGAAAATATTTCTACTATCTAGGATTTTAAAGATCATAACTACAAAGATGTGGAAGGCAGTGTTCAAAATGACACTGGACCAATATTTAGTCTGAATGCATGCATACAGAAACTTAAAGACTAAATGACTGTAGCAGAAGAACAGTTGCATACGATCATCAACATAAACAGAAAGAAGGACTTACTGTTCCAACATATTTATACAAGATAGGAAAAGGGGTTTTAGAAACATCATGTTTTAGGAACATACTGTTTTCAATGAGACAGCTTTGACCTTAAAATATGTAACAGTCAGTGGCACTATTCAACTGAAATTTGAAGACAAATTGAATCCCAACATTTACTGGAGGGGTTAGGGTGTGTGGTTCTACTAAATGCACTCTATGGCCTTGTGCCACAGAATTTTGGTTGACTGAAAATATTCCTGTGGCACCACTGCTTCAAACTGCCACGACAAGAGTGACATTTCTCATTTCTTGGTATGCCATCTGAGCTGAATTGTAGACCTTCAATTTTCTGTTTGCTGATGCTTCTAGCACATTCTTTGGACTTTTGACAATAAGAGCTGGTAAAGAGAAGTAAAGGTTTGTACTGGGAGTGATACATGCTAAGAATGGCTTCGGAGTATCTTCAAGCTCTGCAGAGAGCAAAATGTACTAAATTTTCCTCTACTTCAGTATTTTTCTGCATGAATCTTCAATCTCAAATAACTTACAATGTTTCTCAGTTGCTGGTCTTCTATTCATTTTGATGTTAACAGAAGTTACAGAGATCATTTTTTCCAGAAGAATAAATGGATAAACTAACAAATATTCTCTCAGATAACACAAATAAGGTGGACAATCAATGCAAATTATTTACAATTAATAACTGAGCTTATTATGGTCAAGATGATAAGAAAAAGATTATCTCCCATCCTTCCCTTCCATTCCCTGCAATGAGAACTGCAAGTTATGCATTAGATCTACACGCGTTTAAGAGAAAGGCAGAGGCGGCAGCCTTGTTAAATGCTTGTCTAGGACACCATTTTTCACAGGATCTTAAAAAAAACCATACAGCACATATGGGTAAAGATTTTTAAAAACTGAATCGCAAGAAAGTAAGAAAAGAAAAGTAGTCTTTGAAACATGCTCAAATACATTGTTATTTAGCAGCACATGAAACAACTGCCTGGGTGATAAAACAGAGAAAGCATAAATATTACAACTTTATTAGATTAGTTCTGCTCAATAACAATTAGATCTTCAAAATCCGTACACAAACAAACCAAACACATTCAAGTAGGAAATGTTTATATTCCACAAGGCTTGCTGACTTGGTGTTTTTCTAACAGCAGGGGCTACATCTCAGTAGAGAAACTGTCTCAGTGACCCCTCTGCCCCTCCTTCA